ACGCAGTGGGCTCTGGAAGGAGAAGGCCCGTGCTGGCAAAGGGATAACAGAGGCTGGAGCACCCTTTCGTTTGATGGTATCAAGCAGAGGCATGCCGGTACCCTGCAGGGAAGGGAAGTGGCACTACCTCTTGGCAAAGGGAAGGCCCTGCTGCACAGAGGTGGGCTCCTCAATGGCTCTAGTCCAAGAACAGCTACAGTATCCCTGAAAATACCTTGGTACCTAAGCAAGTAATTCCTGCCAAGCAATGACACGTGTCCCATCACTTGTCAGGAAGGAAAAAAGAGGAGATCAGGAAGACCAGCGTGGACAGAACCCAGCTGCTGGCCAAGTGAAATGGGCAAAGACAAAGCTGGTCAAGCCCCATCTACGGACAGTCCCCAAGAATGAGGGAGCAGCCCAGCCAGCAAGAGAGTCACTGAGAAACCTGAACCAGTTGCTATTTAGAAGAGACCCAAGGAAGGGTATGTCTGAATCCAAAGCAGAGTGGGATGGAAATGGTACTTCCCCACTCTCTACTTACTCATTTTGTTTTGCTTTGTGTCTCATGGTACCGCGGGCGGTGGCACAGCTCTGCAGCCCAGCCATCACACCTCCTGCAGCCCAGATAAACAAGCATTCAAGATCCTGTTAACTGTTTCACTCGCTGTGCTGGCTGCAATCCAGAGCACAGACATACTTTGCTTGAGATCAGTGTTTCTTAACTGCTGGATCCTGGGAGAAGGCATCAAAGGCAACTCTCAGCTATTAAAAGCAAGCACAGAACTCTCATGTACACTTACACCCTCTGCTTATGCCTTATGCATAAGAAGGCTAAAAAAGCAGTCGTTTCCTGAAACCAGAAAAGGTTTATCCGAGGCCAGGGAGTAGAGGAGTCAATACCTGCACATGTACAGAAGCAGTACTTTAAAACTCCCAACATCTCCTCTCCCAAATATTTGGGTCAAGACTTGTTCTACTGCTGTCTAATTAATGAACTGTTGCTGGTGTTCACAACGCACTGAAATGGTCTCATGGAACAGAGCCAAGTACAAATCCACTAACCTCCACATCCTGATGTTAATTTTAGCCCTGCTTGGCAGTAAACTCCATTTAGATAAATTTCCTTTACTAAAGAGATGAGACTGAACTGGCAGTATCCAGGGGGATCGGTAGGGCTCACTGTAAATTGCAGGGCAGTATGGTACTCAGCCATAATACTTGCTGCTTTAAAGACCAGAGCATGAACCCTGGCACTGCCTGTTGCACGCAGGGACACTCGTGAGGCCTGATGTCAGCAGATCGTACCCTCAGCTCAGCCTGCACGTGCTGCTTAAGAGAGGTCACGGATGGTATGTTTTCCTTGGCATTCTCCCTCTTTGCTCAATGCATGAAAGAGAAAGGCTTCCTCTGAAACTGTTGTTGTCATTCCCTTAATAATTCCGTAATCTAGGAAATCTCCCGTTCTCATTCTAGACTGCAAAGAGAGCACACGATTTCCCCTTTGCTGTTCCAAGGGGGATTGCTTTGCATGTGCCACATAACAGCAAAAATATGGCTGTGATAAAAATGAACCCAAATGAAAGATTTGCTATTTTTGAAGCGACAGAGGGATTGACAGAGGGTCAAGTCTATCTTACACATGCAATCTCAAGTAAAAGCACACCTGTGCTCTCCGGGCAGGCTGGAAGGCAGCCACGTAGCCTGGCCTCCTGAAGACTGATGCCAAGGGGACCACGGGGGACATTTCACCGGGTTTGTACCCTGGCCCCCCTTCCCATGTCCTCTCCTGTGACTCACATACAGCTACCAACACAGGCTGCATTTCCCACTGCCTTCCTCCCCGCAGGCCCTGCCAGCACAAAGCGGGCTAACGCCCTGCGCAGGCAGGCCCTGCTCCAGCACGCCTGCCCTGCAATCACCAGGTGAGGACCAGCCCCATGGTGACTAAGAGCATACGAGGAAGCACAGGGCTGCCCCGTGCAGGGGCGGTGAGTCCCGGCGTACCGGCCTCGCCACCTAGTCACCGGCAGCCCGGCCTGGCGGGGTTGCGACATACGGCAGGGGTTTCTGTCTGTGAAACTGGCCCAACGTGTGGCTGTGAAGTACGTGCAGCAGGAGCCGTTTTGCACCGTGCAGGGTGCACAGTGGGGCACAGCTCCCAGGGAAGGCAGTGGAGGAATGTGGCCAGGTATTTGAACACTTTATTTCCTGGTTGGTTAGCCACGGTTTAAGTTCCACTGATCCTAGTTATCTGGAGTGACCCAAGACACCACCCACCAAAGAGCCTTAACCCTTTCTGCCACTACACATCCCAAGTTGTTTTGTTTTAAAACAGGGGAGATTCTTTTTGGAGAACACTGGGGAGGGCTCACCCCCATAGGCTACAGGCATGGCTGCAGCCGAGACATCCTGACTCCTGGTGTAGGTATGGGGGGAGACGTGCTTCTGCAGCCTCCTCCTTACTCCTCCTGTAATCTTGTCATGGTAGTGGGGGAGTTGTGCTCATATCCTCAAGCATCTTGCATCAAGGCTAGTGATACTGCAAATGTGGTTTGTGCTGTCAAATGTAGGCTTTTTTATATTGCAGAAGTTATGTGCTCCTGCTTGTCTTCTTCCCAAGCCTGTGAAGCCACTGGCTTGGCACGAGCCAGGGCACAAAAAAGCTGCTCCTAACCATACAGCCATGTCTAACACTCTGATGTATAACGCAGGCAGTAGCTGACTGGGCGTAGGACTGTTCTTGGTTTCATATCCTGTGACGTCTTTCAATATACAGCACGTACCTTCCGGGCCAGCCCGCCCTCCTCAAGGCCTTAAAAAACAAAAAAAAGGCAAACATCAAATTTATATTCTGTGGTTTTCAAAGATTTAAGTATGATGACCCTTTCAGTTATGGCTCATATAGGTCAGGCTCATAGGGGTCAGGCAGGACCACTCAGAGCTACACAAGGGCTCAAGCCCCTTCCACGCCCACATTTCAGTCTGTTCCCTGCCCCTGCTCTACTGCTCCTGCCAACTACCCGACACTACACAGTCTTCATAATGTCCCTAAAGTCACTGCCTCCCAACTTCCCACTTCCTTTCTCCAGTCTGCCACCTTCTTCCCTTTCCAGCAAGCCCTTCATTGGCACTTCCTCTTCTTAAAGAAAATACAGCTTGTGCTGTGCTCAGATGAGACCTGCTTTCTTCCCCCCAACTAACAGATTTTTAACAGCGATTCATTCAACATACCTACGTTAATTTTTCCAACACCTGCCAAGGCCAGTGTTGGCGTTTGCTACGTCTGGGCATCATTCAGGAGCTAATATACCACCAGCTCTACGCCACCACACAGGTCAAGTGAGCGGCCTAGCCAGGATCCCTCTTCTGTATGTTGCCTGAGCACCCTCAGTGTAATTGATTTGGGACACAACCACGGGATTTGAGCTTCCCTGTGAGGCTCCAACACTGCGTTCAGCTTTGCTCTTCCATTAGCAGGCAATGAGTCGAGACCCTGAGGGCCAGTCTGATGTTCCAGCTACGGCATTACAGAAAACAGCAGACTGGACGACACCTTAAGGGATTAGTTAGTCCAGCACCATGCATGAGCCCAGCTCAAGCACTCTGGATCATACTCCACAGGCTTCTGTCTGAGCTCCAAAGCGCGTGACCCTAAAACCTCAGGAAGGGACCGCACAGGCTCCCCCCGCAGATGGCTTCCCTCAGAAAGCCCTTCCCACAAGGTGGCCTAAACCTTTTGCCAACCTCGGCACGGCAGAGCAGGGCGATGACGAGCCCGGCCCCCCTCCCCGTCAGCCCCTTTTCCCTAGGGCGGCCTAGCGCAGGGCGGACCCCAGGCACCAGAGGCCCCTTCCCGCCTCGGTGGCCCTGTGAGACCTG